CCCCCTTCAGAATGGGATTGGGGGAGGGGTGACCCCAGGAGATCTCCATTTATGGAACCATTTTCCTTCTTCATGGGAAGACTACTGGAATGAAATTGGGGAACCCCCACCCCCCAAGATAGCCACGTAAGAGAATCACACATGATTCTATGATGATGGCTGAATTTGAATTGCTTGTTTGCTTTCGGGAAATGGACAAAGACATTGCCAAGAAAAGGGACCTCATATCTGTGGGCGTTTTCTAACTCTACCCTCTTTCAGGTTGGTTTAAAGGGATACCGAAAGGGAAACCAACTTGCGCCATGAAACGATGACCAACACCTGAAGTTGATCGGGAAGTGGTCAACGGGTTCCTCACAGGTTTTGTTGCCATATAGGCGACCCCACAAATGGGTTGATTTTCCCTCTGGTGTTCCTTTAAACTACCCAAAATGGGCACCTTCAAGAACACAACCCATATACTCACTTGCACTTTGCGCCAGTCGACCTCTTGGACCTGTTTGCTAGGTTTCCTTTGGTTTGCCTCAGCAGCAATTTCTACCCTCCTGCCGGCGCAGGCACTTCGGAGCAACGCTGGCAATGTTCACCCCCACCCAGTTATTGATCACCATGGATGCGTCAAACTGGATTGAATCCCTAGTCAATCCAGGATCAGGCCCCTGGAACAATGGATTTTCGCCATACTTGAGGTGTCCTATTTTTTCGAGAGAAGGGATTTGCACCATTTTGTGTGGTGTCTTATTTTTTTTTCGAGACACCCAATTGCTGGACGACGGCGAGAACCCAAGTCTGCATCAGGACAACGACCCCCAGACATTTGGCGTCCATTTTGTCCAGCAAAAAGCTCAGCGTCATCCTTTCATCTCTTCCTCTTTGGTGTTTTGGCCAGCTCTAAGGACCGGTTCCCAGTTTTGACCCACCAGATGTTGGACTGTGGTAGGGGGGTTGGTCCCGACTCCGACGAGATGAAACTTTGATTTCCGGGTCCCGGACCGGCAAGTGAGAGGGGAACTTTGATAGTAGGGGAAAAATAATAACATACTAGAACAAACACAATAGGTTAGTTCGGGACATTTCCAACCACTGACTAGGTGTGAAGGCTCTTTTGGATGTCTTCACCATGGTGGGCAGACTGCTTTACTGGGGAGTGATCATGGCTGAATTGCTGTGGATTTCTGGGGGGAGAGCCTCTTTGTCAATCACGTACGCGGCGTTTCCTCTGTTAGGTTGTTTTCGTTTCAGAATGGATACCAGATCCCTGGGTGGCGCGGAGATGGAGGTATGATGCCAATATTTTTCCAGCAACAAGTTTGTGATTTGCGCGTTTCCCAAACTAGTACGTAAACCCTCTCGTTTTGAAGACAGCAAGCGATCCTCTTCTGTATGTTCACCCCACATCAGGTAAGCAGGTGATATCCGTCGTCAGAAGTCTGCACAATTCATAGCGAGCTTACCTGTGTCAACGGTCCTGTACTTGGGAATTCCTAAATGGTTGGTGAATCAGTTCCCTTCTTGCCATGCTTTTAATATACTATGTCAGCTGAACATCATTGTTTTGCTCTTGGTCCCCTCCATTTTCTGCCACTTCCTCGGGCGCTTTCGGGCCAGGAACATGACTTGCTTTTTCACCACCTGGACACGGCCGTTGCCCACGAGGACGGAATAGGAATCGCCGGGTTTCGTCAGGCGCGTTTCGGTGTTCTTGTTGATTCAGCTGTGGTAAACAATCGATGGATTCTAATGGTTGGTTTCCAATTTATCACTGCCATCTAGGTTTTCAAAAGACGGTGTCGGGCGTTCTTGCGCGTTTGTGGGGGACGTTGGTTTTGGTTCTGCTGAGAGTCGTTTGCGGTCCATGAGATCAGCGGGTTCGCAAGGGTCACGAAGAGCGCTCAAAGCGCCTCGTGACAGCGAAATGGCCGAGATCCGGTTCATCCCTGTGATGGGTGGCTTAGATGGATCGCCAGATCGATGAATGATTCCCGGGTAGGTCACAAATGATTGACCAAATGATGGGCTGGGTGCCCATGTGCCCCTTGAACACTTTGCGACAAGGTGGTCTAAGACTCCAGGAATTCTTGCCGGAGTTCAGCAGCTTTTTGCTTGTTTTCCAGTAGGATTTGCTGAGCACACGTGAAGTTTCCTTTCGCGCTGCACCCAGAACTAATGTAGAGGTTTTTCTTGGACTCTGGGCCAAGCTTGTCAACTTCACCCCTGGAAGTTGGAGCGTAAATTGGGGTTTTGCACTATGGTCCCGCATTATTGGCACTGGTTTGAAGAGGTCTTCGGTTTTTCCTGAAATCCGAGGAGGGGCCCGCAATTCTTGTGCTCGGGTGTTCGGAGTCTCCCACTCCAACCGTTTCCTGAAGCGGCAAAAGACGGGCCCGGCGTCGTTTATTTTGACACTGACAGGTAAAGCACTTTTGTTGCTTAACACGGGGTCCCCCTGTCTTGACACGTGCCAGATACCACCAAACCCGAATCACCAATTCGGGCTCCTGTGAGTTGTGTGGTTTAGCCCAGTCCCAGGTTGCACAAAGCTTTAGTAACAAGGGAACCCAAAGGTTTAACCGGAGTTTCTTTGGGCTACGCCTTTGAAACCGACCAAGAGGGGGCAAGCCCCAAACAAAGAGATGCCACAGTTGAAAACCATTTAGGGGCCAGTTGATACGCTTACAATGTAGAACTGGGGGGTTCACCACATCAGAACTACAAGAACTGCCCACTTCTGTGATACCAATGGAAGGCCTTCATTTCAAGGAGAAACGATTTCCTGGTATCACAGAAGTTGGGTTGCGTGATCAACCTGCTTCCCACAATTCAGAAAACCCGAGCAACTGGAACCAATGTACCCGGCCCTCATGAGTTCCAGTTGGGAATTCATAATCAAACTCGGGTACTGAAGGTGAGTACGTGACAGTCCCAGCCAGAATTAGGTGTGGCCGCCTTAGCCTTTACTTCGTTACATTGGCTGTAGACCACTTTACCAGGTTTTGATGGGTCTTTTGCCCCGTCAGAGGATCAACTGGAACTCGAGGTGGCCCCCGAGATGGCTCGAGAATTAGGGGCCTTTGTGCCCGCGCGACTCGGCAGGAGGTTTAGGGCTGGAGGGCAGTGGCGAGGGTTGGGGGCAGGCCCCTTCATTGAACCGTTTCACTCGCTTTTGCTTCTACAGCCTCCTTTTGGCTCCACTGAATTGGGCATGTGGCTTCAGTGGTGTGTTTCTTTGGTTCTGTGCATTTTACATTTGAGTGGCGGGCTGCAACGAACAAAGCTTGCCAAAGCACGGGGTGGACACTGATTCTGGGCCAAACACAAAAATCGAGCTCACCGGAGCTTATCCATGAGGTCCGTTGCCAGGTGGATTCCCTTGTTTCCAGTTTGGGAGTGTTCAAATTTGCCAAGATACTTAAAGGGGCATTGTACGTCAGGTAGGTGGGCAATAACTATGGTTATAACCCACAAAAGCCATGGTTATAAGTCTCCGTTCAGTGGGTTAGAGCTGAGCTTACTACCCAAGTACCAAGTAGCCTGGCCCTTTAATTGGTGTGGGAACCGTTGTGTTGGCCCCTTTGACGTGAATGCGGTAAGAGTTTCCTCTCAAGCACTCGGGGAATATGGGGAGAAATAAGTACGCGCCCCGGGGAGGTGTCCCACAAAGAAATACATGGGGTGTGTGTTTATTTTACAGGAAGACCAAACTGAACCTGCAATTTGTTGGCAGTCAGTGGTGACCTTTTTTAGCTTTTCGAGGGGGGACGGAACTCAGGTCACCTTTCTGCATGCTAGCAAAGGAATCCGAAAAATTGTGCGTTGCTCCGAAACATTGAAGGGGTTTGGGTTCCTGTTGTGGATGTTCGGGAGAACAGGCGATTCCTGATGTTAACATTGCTTTTTCCCAGACAAGGGGCATAACACCAGTAGACTTACTTTCCGTTTGCCCCCAGAATCAGGGCTCCTTGGATCCGCTTGTGGTGGATCCGGCTGTGTCTGCAATTTGTTAGGGGCTTGTCTTCGCATTGAAAAGGCCGGCATGGATTTCTTTGACCGGTGGCGCCTGAACCCCAATTCCGATTAGGTTGGGCTCCTGTGATATCAAGGAAGTCTGGTGGAAGAAGGCCCACAAAGACAGGGATGCCGACCCAAGAGTTTAGGAAGCCAATAAGGAACCAGATCCGAGGCACCATGAACCACACATTATTTGGAAAATCCCCCCCCCCCTAGAAGCCTGTTGTTGTCAGCACTCCTCTATCCCCACTGAACCCCCCGTTTTTGGACAGCTTTCAAGGGAGCCAGAAGGAAAAGGACGTGTTTGACAAGCCGAGATGCGACCCGAGGTAGATTTCCCGATTTTCGAATTCGTGGCGGGTGTCTTGGGCAGCAAGCCAAAAGAAATGGGAATGTCTCTTTCTTTTTTTGAGTCGGTACTCTTTTGAGGGTTGGTTGCAAAAAGGCATCAGTCAACATTTTACCAAGGTTCCGCAAAGGGCGGTTGGCCTAGTTTCCAACTGACGTGACCCCTGAAAAATCACATTTGTATATTCATTATTATCATTTTTACGTCTTTTTCTGGGTGTGTCGTGATTTGTAATCAGCATGTTTCTCTTGTTTTTCCCTTTGATGAAACTCCCTCAAAAGGGCACGTACCCTACGACAACCCAGCTGTGGTAGACGATGTTTCAAGAGCCCGCCACGGCACCCCGTCCCGTCTCCCCCTCCCCCACCGTTTTTCGAAGGGGTTGTAGGCCTCAAGATGGTCGAAGCACTCAGGCTCATGGCAACTCTGCCCCAGACAACCAAACCAAAAGATTGGGGTAGTTCTGCACAACTACAACAACTCTCTGCCTTGATTGTTTGAGTCCTCCTTCTTTTTCCCCAACAGCTGAAAGCTTTGGGGTCTTAGCCCAGGTAGCCTCGGGGTTGTCCGGGGCGGCCCTGAGGTAAGGTTCCAAGAGGGTTTCACCAGGGTTCCACCAGGTTTTTTCCAGGGTTCCACGAAAGTTCCACGAGGGTTCCACGAGGGGGTTCTGCGAGGGCTGCGGGGTGGTGCGAGCACTCAAAAAAGCACCGCATGCTGTTGGGGATATCACCTGAGCTTATTGGATGCCGGGGGCGGGGGGCGGGGCTGGGGTGGGGTGGGGTGGGGCAAAACCCGAGCGAGCACCATGATGCAGCTGCCTCACTTGGGGATTCCCCATTTCCGCTTCGTAATTGTATTAGTATGTTCAGATATTTGAACAAATGGTCGCCCAAGCTATTTTTGTGAACGTGGCCTTTAAGGCCCCAATCAACTTGACATCTCCCTTCTCCTGTATACCAGAAACGGGAGCAGGACTTTGTCAACACAAGGCAATTCTCCAAGTGGGGGAGACGCACCAAAGTTGTCAATTGGCTTGTCGCTTGTAATTGGTGATTGCAAATCCTTGAAATCCTTGTGCTTTTTGTGGTCTGGGACCCAAAACGAGCTGAAGCCAGTTTGTCACCGTCTCTTGGGTCACTCGCCTCAGGGTTCCATTTGTTAGTTCCCCCTAAAATTGGCGGTTTTCTGAAGGTGAAAACAACCGCATGTGGGGATTTGCGTCTACCTCGGGTACTCACAAACAATGGCGCGCCCTCTGCCTCAGGCTGGGTGACATACAGTTTTTGGAGTCTGGAGCGCTACGTTGCAAGCCGGACGGGCTTCTGAAAGTCGAAAGCGGCTGGGCGGAACTTTACCGCGAGCCTTACTGGGGTAAGGTGGGTGATCGCTGGGTGGTAACGGGGAACTAGAGACCACAGAGCTAGGGTTGCGAAACGAGTTTCCGTTTTAATGCTAGACTATGTGGATGCAGGCGTATCACGCTTCTTGGGGGCCTCAGGCAAGTGCAAGTCACCTTCGGAGGTAGTGGACTTTACAGTTTTGGCAAGATGACTTGAGTTGGAAACCAATCAACTCGGGAAGTGAGTCATCAACTTCGGATTTTGATGGGAAATTCAGGGGTCCCTAGACTTCCCTCTTTGTGGGATTATCCCCACCCCCTCAAACAAGGAATTGTCGGAGCGGGGTGACCCAAGGAGTTCCATTGATAGTTTCATGTCCCCTTTTCATTGTGGGGAAGAGTAAAAACGGAAGTGGGGGATCCCCCTCCCCGGTAAGGCAGGAGGGGGGAGGGATGTGGGATCAAACATCACCTTTTGGGCTGGTCTTTGGCAAGTTGCCTTTCCGGGGTTGATGTGTCAAGGGGAGTCTGGCGGTGTTCGTGTCGAAATGAGGGCAACCCCAACAAATTGTATTTTTTCCTTTTGGTTTGTCTTCAAACCTACCTTAAAGGGGGGTCCTCAAAAACGAGCATCCATTTCACAAGAGCATCGGCTTCGGGATTTCAGGTGGGAAGGCCTCCTGAATCCTGCGCGGGTGTAGATTAAAATTTGAAGCAGAATCCTCTGGGCCAGCCCAAGAGAAACGTGCAGTGTTGGGTATGGTCGCCGCCTTTCAAAAGAGACCGACAGAATGTTGTTTAAACAAACAGGCGTTTATGTGCATACCAAGAGTGGCTCAAACCCCAGTTGAATCGCCCAACCCTGGCTCAGGAACGTGAAGCCTCCGCCTAAACTTGTGTGCGGATCTCGTCCAACACGCGGTGCCCGCGCTTCCTGGCGGGCAGCGGGCCCAGCTTCGTACGTGCCGGGGGGGCATCGGTGGGTCGCGATGTTTCGCCCATCTTCCCAGAGTTCCTTGAGGCGTTTCCAGTCAACAGCCTCCACGCACAAGTTGTAGGAAGGGGTTTGTAAAACAAACGTACTCTGCCACAGATAGCATGGATGTATTAAAGCCGCCCCACGTTTTGGCGTTTTGGCGGCTTGGTTTGGGAGCAGCGCCCAATGAAGCCGTACAAGTGGACTTGTTGCTTCTCCTTTTTCAGGTGGTTTGACGTGGACAGTGTCACCGGCGGATATGTCAATGATCAGGCGACAATGCAGCCTGCTTTCCCCTCCCCCCCAAATAGAAAGAAAGGGCAAATCAGGAAATTGGGACTTTGCGGCGATGACCATTTTGCAATTGATGATCGAGACTTATCATGATCACGATGACCCAGTCAAATTCCTCAATCAATGAAAGGACGGGATGACCAGCTGAATGCCCCTCATTGTACACCTCCCCCTTTTTTCTCAAATAAATGCGGTCAAACTTTGACACAATGCCTGGGTTGGTCTGGGACAGTCCCAAGAAGGTCCTGGGAAACCACAAGCAACAGTCATAATTTATCGTTTTGCGCTGTGGTCGTGCACGCAACATGGGGCTTGCGAATTTTGAGGCCTGCCGGCCTATGTGTGACGTTTGCGCACGAACAGAGGATCATGGAATCTGCCTTTTTTCCCCGGTGTAAAGGGAAACCCAAGGCAGGGCATTTTTCTTTTTTTTGGGGGGGGGTTCCCGGATCTTGAGACAAGCCCCGCTTTGTCCGATCCTATCCCTTGCCAGGTCTCGAGTACCTTCGAGCCAAAGCACTTGCATGTGTCAATTTTTTAAAGGATCCAGCTTGTTTTGAGAATGACTCGCGGAAGGTTTTCTTGACTTGGGATGGAAGTCGGCGATCTACTTACTTTCTCAGAAAAGGCGGGAGGATTCACTAGCTATTGGTTTCCCTTCAAAGCCAGTCAAATTGGGGTTGAAGAGGTTGAACTGGGGCCTCGTCAGATTTGCGACTTCTGGTAGGAAGCTGAGCGTCTGACGCCCACACTGAGGTCGCCAGAGAGCACGGCCGTGTCTTTTGCGCGCTTAGTCACGGCGGCTGCTTTTCCAAGGTGCACTGCAAAGATCTGCATCCGCATTCGGCCATGCTTACTATCCTTTCCGCCGCAAGCAAGCAATTGGCTCCGCCGCTTTGGGCAGTCTGCCTCTTGCGTCTTTGCAGAGCCTGCGGCGGATGGAACGTGCAAGATAGCTTTCAGACGTTCAGATTCTTCAGAGCAGATTGATCGAGCTTGGGCTTCAACGAGTACTTGTTTGCTGGCCGAAAACGCAGCTCACAAGCTTCCATTGAGATTTGGCAGGGCAACTGCTTCTTCAAGACTAGGATGGTGTGGCAGGGATTCTTCGCTTGCTCGGCAGGAGCGCTTAGAACCTTTTCCAGTTCGAAGCAAATGGAAGCGTCCAAACATCGGGTCCGCCCAAAACTGGTTGGTCTCCTTTTCAATCAGGATCTTTCCCCTGCGGGGGAGAACAGGAAGAAGAACCCCTGCCGATAGATGCAGCATTTGAGATGCCCATACCTAGCTCCTTGGAATGGACGAACATGTGCCTTTGGGCCAACTTGGAATGAGAGGCTGCACGGCTACCTGCGTTGCATTTGCGTCGCCATAATGATGGCGATCTTGGAGTCACGCTTTTGTGTTCTGAACGTGGTTTGCTGAACGGAACTCCATTTTCTTGGAAGCTGGTTCTGAAAGCAAACAAACACCCTCTTTCCAAGAATCATGGAAGTGGACGTTCTGGGAGCTTCCCCAAAAGTTAGGGAAAGGTAGTCTTCCAGACCTTCCGATTGTCGACTTTCCTGATGGTTGGAGGGAGGGAACTGCAGTTTTGGGACGACTCCGACCTGTACAGCCTAGTTTAGGTGGAAAAATAGGCACCGCGCAAGGGTTCACACAGAGCTGATGGCCGCGAGGTGCAAAAGGGCTGACGCGAGAGCGGCTAGGTCCCCCAGTAGTGCCCTTGCTCACCCTTTTTGGGGGAGGGTTCCCCTACTAAAATAGACTACAAAAAAAAGGTACACTCATTCTAAGCTCTCCACTGGAGGACCTAGGTGGGTTCAAAAACACATTCCAACTCATTCCAACACATCCTCGACTCAGAGGCAGCAGGACAAGCTGACGCTACGGTGGGGTGAAAACCAAACACCATGCCACTCCTTTTCCCATGGCCTGGGGCAACTGCAGCATTCGGCCGCGGCTCAGGTGGCATCGTCCTGTTTTGATTAGACTGCACGATGGCACCACGAACATTATGCCCATGGCCTGTCTATTAATTCAATGACAGGCGGACGGACAGACAAACAGACAGATAGATGGATAAGTAGAAAGGTAGGTAGCAAGTAAGAACGGCCGAAAGAACAAGCCAGAAGAGAGCGAAAGAAAGACAAAGAAAGTACAGAAATGAGTAAGGAAAAAGGACAGAACAGAAAGGCATCACTAACAGCAGCAATGAACGAACAGAAGAAATAAAGTAAGAGCACAAAGAAGGAAGAGAAATAAACAACAATAGACACACATATATACATATATGTATTTATAATGTATTTAAAGGAAATGAAGGGAGACATAAATAAAGAACACTGACAGAGAGAAAGAAGAGAGACCAAGAATAATCAAAAAAACAGGTGACTATAGTCTATTTTTTGATATTTTCGCCCAGCCGCTTCACAGCTTTACTGGTATACCCCCTACAATCATCATAGAATGGGTAGCTTTGGTTTTCGTTTTGGTAGGAGCTTTGTGCAGTAGAAACCCGGCTGGAAAACTGGGCTGCTTTTACTTTTATATGTGTAAGCGCGCAATAAAGAGACGGTCGCACAACACACGCTTGCAAGGGCTTGAAGTCTGGACAAGATTCGGGGTTGTTTGCTTTGGATGCTTGTTTGGGTGATGGGTAGCATCTTACATCTCTGCCCTCAACTGTCAACGATGGCAACACCCACTTCAGTGCCATGTTTAGGGTTGAACATCGACCAAGGTTGGCAGAAAAGAACAACTTAAGCACCAGATCCCACGTTGGTTGCCATATGGGTGTGGGTCAAAAATAGGGTACGCATATAGAACCCCGGTAAATGGAAACACAAAAACCTGCGGTTCCCTGGTTTCATTTTGATACGGACTCGTCGCGGGTTCCTCGGAGCCGCGAGGCCTTCTCCGCCCGCGCCGCGCGGGTGGTGGAGCAGCACGCGGCGGCCTTCGCCTAGCGAAGAAAGTCCCCGAAATGCGCGGCGCAGGGCGGGGCTTCGCGACGGGCGCCATGCGACCGGACATCGACTCGAGGGTTTGCGTGGGGAAAGTCAATGGGTTTGTGTGGGTACTCGAAGAATGGAAGCTTGCTCCTCGAAGGATTGACAAGCCTTCATTCTTAGGGGGAAATAGGACCGAATAAAGCTGGACGGGTCACACAAGCCATTTCAATTAGGCCAGCGCCCTATCCACTATACAAGGGTATACGCCCCGTTTGAATGCCGTTAGTGGCTGACTATATGAACCCAAAGATGAACGCATAGCCAATTTTGGCGGTTTGCTCCCCGCATTTTTGCTTGCATTCATGGTTCGTAAATTGACGTGGGTTTATGCATGGCAAGGGGCTCATACATGGGGCTCATACGTTCAGTCTTTGACACTACCCCAGGAGAAACAGGGAACATGCTCTTCAAAGAGTGGCTTTACTATAGTTTTGTTTGGCAGTGGAAGGCGGGCATTCTGTTGCCTTGCCACAGGCGTCTGAAGCCCAAAACCATCCCTGGCTTCAGAACCAGAAAGCTTATGATGGAGTATTGGTGGAACATTTCAGCTCGGCTGTGCTTCCCAGGCTTCGTGCAACCCTCCGAGTTGTCAAGTTTGCCCTGCCACCTTTCCGCGCAGGCTCCTAGCAGAGCGGAAGAGTGAAACAGCGGCAACACGCATCTGGTTGTGATGGTTGCGGAACATGATGTCGCTTTCTCTGAGTGGCGGCATTGAAAGCTTTCTGACCTTCCGCAATAGGCGCGGCAATTTGCAAACATGGGGGCCCTTCAGTTTTTTGTGCAGCCACACATAGCCCGAGCCCACGCAGGTTCCGAAAGCAGCTTCCCCCAAGCAGCCCACAGGTCCACTTGAGTCTTTGAACCCGAGCCATGCCGGGCCTTGATGCACGTTGAGGCCGGCCCAAGGGTCGGTGTATGACCCCCTTGGATGCCCTGGGAAAGGATCCAAGGTTCATGGCGAGGCATGTGGAATGCCACAGGGGCTAGTTGTTTGGTGGCTGGCCATCGTCAATATTCCCAAACAACCTCCCCCCATTCACTGGAAAGCCATATAAAAGGCTGTACATGGAGTGCGCAGCTTGGAGCCATCAGGGGTAGTAACATTCTCAGGGGTGCGTGGCATTCTACTCCTGGTGACCCACAAAGTGAACCGATTTCCTTGTCCTGTTGCAATCGAAAATTCTAAAACGCCATATGGATTGCTTCCAGGATTTTGGGCAGGTCTTTCATCTTCTTTCATAAATCTTTGGTGGGGTGTCCAGCAGATAAGGCCAACGAGGCATTGCATCCGTTTTTTTTTTCTGTGGGGACATGGTCGCTTAAATGAACCCCTTCAACAAAATTGACGTCCTTCTGGCCGTGCCACCGAAGGAAGATAATGATATGGGGTACACAAGCCCGGAAGGCAGTTGACACGATGTCCAGACCCCAGCTAGGTACGTCGTTTGCGTGTGTCTGTGTGTGTGTGCGTGTTTGTGTCTGTTTGTCTTGAGGGTAACATGCTTGCGTTGTTTTGAAGGGAAATTGAAACCAAGAGGACCCCCCCTGTTTCCCCCCCCCCACCCCCCGATCTAGCGACAACTTCTTACATTGGTCAAATTGGAGCAGCAGGATCAGGGCAAAAATGCATTGGCTATTGACTATTGGCTTGCGTTCCAATCGCTCTTTAACATATATATATATATGGCAGTTAGTGTGGTCTATGTGTTGGCAGGTTTCTCCATCATTTGAGTCATGCCCAGAATCCCAGAAAAGTAGCTTCTTCTGGTCAGTCAACTCAGCAGGTCAGCAATGAGATGGCAGGGAGGGAAGGGTTTGCGAGGACTGGGAAGACTCCATCCCTCTTACCCAGGCCTTGTTTCTTTGTTTGCCCAACACAACCCTGCTACAAGCGGTTCGTTTGCCCGGGTTCCCTACAATTCCCCTGCTGGTCTGAAACATCACCTTTTGTCTGCGTCAATTTTGCTTGGCGAGTTTCCTTTGACTGGTGATGTTTCAAGGGGACAAAGTGTTTTTTGGTTTTTCTTCAACATGGGGATGGCCGACCTTGGTATCAGGTAGCAAACCTGCCGCAGGTGCCCGACTATGTGGGCGGCCTTGGTCGGCACATCCTCCGGCAAAGGGGGGGGCCCTGTTTTGCCCAGAAAGCGTCCTACTAGGTTGTTCAACGGTACCATGGAAATCCCTTGTGTTGGAGGGTGCACCTCTAAGAATGGGTCGACCAAGTAAAAATGGGTTAGCCCGGGAGCCCCCCACAAAACCCACACAAAGCCCACAGAGTGGGGTGGAGGCGCTGACTTGTCGGAGGTAAGGATCGGACTCGATAGGACACTTGCACTTGTCCCAACCTGCCAACTGTTTTCCCATTAGGACAAAACTTTGCCGGATCCGCCCGCTTTTCTGTCCGTGGGCTTGCAATGAAAACCTGCGAGCTCGCCGGTCGGGGGTAGAGTGATACTTGGCCTAAAATCGCAGGTGTGGTTTCTATCAAAGTTTCATTTTCACAGTTCAAAAATAACCAGGGCAACTTCAAAGTGAGTTCTCTTGCGGGGCGATGTCTATTTGAACCAAACACCCTACGATACCCTTCCAGTGAAACACACTGAAAGCCGTTTGCTTCTCATGTAAACCCTGGGCCTTGTGAGCCGAGTACACGCTTCGGGCTTAAAGGGAAGAACCAGTCCCTTTGTGTGGGGGGGGGGGTTCCCCAAAGACAAGCCCAACCTAGCAGGATTGTTCCGCAACCTGGGGTTAAAGATTTGTGGTGGGGAAGCCTTCACAACAAAAAAGCAGGCGCCACTGAGAAACCCGTGGCCTTGGCTGGGGCTCAGGTGCATTCCTCCAACGCCACGTGCATCCTGAGCAGCGAGGCTCGGAAACGGCTTCCTTCTCAAGCGGAGCCATAGGGAGCACTGAGACTCAGATCGTTCCTTGCAAACCGTTTGTCCCAGGCGACCCAAAGAACGGTTTGGGGTTCCTTTGGCTTCTCAGACATCAACCAAAGACGGGGCCATATGACTCCAACTGTTTGCTTCCTGGAGTCGATGTCCCGGGGCTCGCACGTGAGTTGCTCGAGTTGGGAGCTGGTTCTCAATCGCAGCATATTGATCAAGTGGTTTCCGATCTGAAAGACGTTTGTCCTGGGCAAGGTACAACCACGTGAAAAGGGGCCTTAATTAGTGGGGAGGGGTGATGTCGCGGTTGGTGACATATCATAACTTGCTCAGATATGTGTGTTTGCCTCCCCCCCAGCGTGCAATGCGAGCAGCACAAAAATGATGGGAAGATCCGGGAAAAGCCCAAGACACATCTTTGAGGGGTTGGAGCTCCCCTGATGCACACCTTTTGTGACCAATGCAGCATGGGGTGAATCAGAAACTCAATGATCCTAAGATTGCTCCTGGATTCATGTTTTGTTCTTGTTGGACCAGGTGATCCTATGTCAGGCGTGTACCAGGGTAAAAACCGCTCTGGCAAGCAGCCCATAGATGGTTCCTGATGAACATTTTGATCGTCCCGTTATCCCAAGGCCTTGGGGCCTTGGTCTTTTTGGGATACATGAACAACCCTGGGTGAAATTCCTGTTGGGGGGCCAATGAAATCCCAGGGCCAACTCTCCCCTTGTCGCTGGTAGGGATCTTTCGACGAGCGGCGCCGACGCTTGGAGCGGCGGCTGCTCAAGCGCGGGGTCTTATTCGTCAGTACACGCTACATGCAGCTGATATCCTGTGCAACTGCACAGCCTTGAGCATAGTTTCTGTTGCCACACGTTTGCTAGGTGTAACCGTTTGCCACAGACTGCCTGTCTGCAGGCCAGCCTGTCTTCACCAATTAAACAACTCCACCAGCCACGAGTCAAGTCACATTTATCGGGTGCAATGTTTACTGAAAAGCCGAAGGCAAGGGTTGAAAGGAAGCTTCATTGGAGGGGGAGGGAGCCCAAATAAGCCCTTATTAAGCCTCTAATGAGGCCTTTTTTATTGGGGCTCTCTCGCCCCCAGAACCTTTCCCCCCCCCCCACACAAATGTCTCGTTGAAAGAAATGGAGAACAAGACAGAGAAGCAGAGAAGCACATGTTTGAGAGAAAGAGCAAAGCTAAAAAATAAAAGCATGGAAGCGCAACCACATACACAGAACATATGCTAGAGGTCTTTGACACCAATCAGATCAACGTGGCCAAAAGTGCACTTTGGCAGGGGAAGCGTCATGTCCCTAGTAAACTATTGAAGCCGAACAGACAGTCATTCCCCACATTTTCTCCTTGTCTTTCCGAATATAGGTGCAAGGCAACAATGCATGGAGGGAAGGGACCACGTTTCCCCCCTATTGGCTTTGGGATGGCAACACTTTAGCGTAGTTTGGAGTCTAGGGTATGTCAGAGTGTTTGAAGTTTATTCTGCTCAAGCATCGTTCTTTTCAACACTCAGCCGGTCTCCCAGGTTTCTTGGCGGCACCCTGCTTGGTTTCTCAAAGGGCTCTGTGTCGAGCTATCCCTAATGTAATTGGTTGTTGGTTATTGGGAGTTGCACAACTGGTTAGAGGCTAAATGGGAGACTTCACCCCAGTCCGCCAATCCAAACCCGAAAAACGCTGAACCTGAATCTATGGTTTTGCAAAACGTCGCCGTTCCTGTGATGCCAAAATGGGAAATCCGCCAATCCAGGCAAAAAGACGGACGCTGAGCCTGGGTCATGGTGCAAAAGCGGAGATTCGCATCCCCACTTTCTGTGGGGGAAACTGACCGCTGCGCTCAAACACAAAAGTGGGCCGCGGGCCCAGCCGCCGGCCTTCCGAAGGTCCCGGGAGGTGACCCGGGCGGACCTGGTGCAGCGGAACATCGTGCAAGGCAGCCGGGGCAGCCGGGGCCATCCCCCAGGGCCGGCGATCGCGGTCAAGATGGGCATAGTCCCTGGAACCCACCCGAAGCTTGAGATCCTGTGGTCACAATCTGCATTTTCTCTGGAATCCACCAGTAGCTTGCTGGTGCGAGTGCAGAAGCCCGGAGAAATGGAGTGAACCCGATTTGAACCATCCATTTTTATTGCGGTTTTCCGCTTTTGGTCTACCTGGAGCAATTTGAGTAACCATGATCTCAATGGCCCGAGTTAGATTGTGGTTTAAGGGGACACCTACCCTAAAATGATTTTGAGAGCCCCTCAATATGATTCGGTTTCTCCTGTAAGATATCCAGCCACCAGGTCGAATGGTTTTCAGTTGGGGGCGGTCTACTTAAAGTCATGGACCCAAGTTTGACATAGAGATGCTCATGGACCTGAGCAACTGAATCTGTCAGAGGTAGCCTACCGTCAATTTGGGCCGATCGAAAGATATCTACAGCCAACCCTCGAAAATGAGCCGAGACGGGTGGGCTATTTCCCTATGTACGAAGTCAAAACAACTACGTCACATGAGCTTCTAGATCCCCACGTTGGAGACTCGTTTGTCCCGTCATCTTCTAAATCTTATCTTCGCCACATTGTCAGTACACTTGGCCCGGCTTGAACATAGAGGGACTCCGCTGATCCCAGCAATTATCGAAGTGGATTGCGAGGCTGCATGATAGTAGTCTTGCAAAACTTGCCTGCGCACTTTCGTGATTGTTGGCAAACGAGGGCTTGTCAAAACACGACAGCCGTGACACCTCCCCCAAAAGGCCGTGATAACAACCATACTTATTACCAGACTGAGTTTACCTTTGCAACTGTTCGCCTTTTTTGTTTTTTTTCAGTTGTTGCATGTCGCATCTGTCTGGCGCAGTTTTGAGGACCCAAACAGTCGGCTTGGGCACTTTCATGGGTGTCCTTTTTGGTTGATTTGGTTGAAAAATAGAGGGCGATTCCTGGTTTACCTGATGGTTCAATCAACTACCAGGGAAACCCATCTATTTACAACCAAAAAGGACACCTAGGTGCACTTTGTGATGCCAATTCCGCAAATTAGAAGGAGCATGGGGGGGGTGGAGGCCCTCCAAATGATTCCCGACTAAGGCCAGGTTGACATCCCCGTATTAATAAACTGGGGTTGATGAATAGGGGGGTCAACATTATCTGAAATCTGAGTTGCGTTTCGACAAATACTTGAGAGGACCCTCGAGGCCTTTTCCGCACTGCACCGTTGTTTGTGTGGATGGACGAAATCCACTTCGCACCTGTTGGGATGGAAGCACAAATTCTGGGATAAAGCACCTGCCGACTGGTGCAGGACGTGTGGAGGCTTTCCACGCGTATCATAGGGGGGGTCCAAGAGTGTCAGCACGCTGATACTGATGGGAAGTCCTTGACTTCCAAATCAAGTCCACCCAGAAATGGAAACATCCACGGCCACCAGAAGGAGCATTGGTTTCGTGTCAACCGCGCACCTGCTCACAGAAACGGCGCCATATGCTCCAAGAGCCTGAAAGGTACCAAAGACCCCCCCTTGCTGGGACTCGTCCGCATTCGTACATGGTAAGGTTCGCTAACAACATATTTGGCGAGCTCTGTCGGCAAAATGAGCTCACCATAGGTCCTATGCTCGGCATCCCTTACGTAAAGATGGTTGAACACGCTTGCTGTTTCTGATCTTCATGAGGAAACCAAGGGCTCTAGCGTTGCAGCTGTACTTCAGGTTTCGGAAGTATTCTGGAAGAATGTGCAACCATCATTTTTGGGTTGCGGGCAAAAGCTGAAGTAGCTCAGTGCATGCGAGTTCCAACTGGCGGCTTCATGGGTGAGCTTCACCAGGTACTCTCGTTATACTTTGCCCAGTTTGAGGTGCTTCCGGACCTGTCTGATTACTCCTTTGGCACTTTTTGTCCTCGGGAATCCACAGGTGGAGCATCCAAAGCCGAAAGCCTGGGGATGTCCAGCCGCTAACGATGGCCAGGTCTTTCGGTGGTGCGACGCGGCACCCACGTGCTGGTGGACTTGCTTAGGCCCGGGTGGGCGGGTGGGCGGGTGGGCGGGTGGGTGGGTGGGTGGGCGGGTGGGTGGGCGGGCGGGTGTGTGGGTGGGTGGGTGGGTGTGGAATTTGGGTTGTGTCAAGGTTGGGATCCTGTGACATGTTTGCCCTTAGCTAAAATGATGAACAAAGACAATGTGCAAAGCCAGCTGAGTTTAGGGTTGAAACGGTTTCCTTTTCAAGCAGCCATACCGAGCACCCCCCGCCAAGAGGCCCAACAAAAACAAGGGTATGCTAAAAAGACGGGACACCCCACGTTTTTCACCCGCAAACCTTCCATTATTTTTTACTTTCCCTTGTCGTTTTTAAGGGGAAGCTGTTACTGCCAGACATATTCGCTCATTCTTTCCAGGGGGCGGAAAAAGCGGCGCGCCGAGCGCCGCGAGGCGTCGCCCGAGGTTGGGCGAGCTGATCGCCTCGGAGAGGTTGGAGCAAGCGAGGGGCACCCCGTTTGGGGGGCTTGAGGGAAACGGAAAGGAACACCCCCCCATGTGCGGTGTTAAGGGCGGTGTTAAGGGCGGTGTTAAGGGCGGTGTTAAGGGCGGTGTTAAGGGATGCAGAACAAGGATTCTCCATTTTTGTTTGCTGCTGTATTTGCGCTATCCCGTTTGGGATGAAAGTGAACGGAGACCTTTGGATCACAGCACGTCTTTTCGTTGAGGCTCCGGCCGGTAGTGTTTGGATCACCTTGGGGAAGGAAAGCTTGGTGTCGGGCCCCCACAAAGGGCCACTTTCAAAGAGACTTGAAAAGGGGCAGTGCCCTTTGATGGTTGTGCAAATCTACCCCTTTTTGTGATTTGTTGTTCTCTTTTCTGAGCATCAGTTAGTCATCAGTTGCTCATTTTAGAAAGCATGCGCCCCTGAGCCGACGTTTCTTCAAGTCGAGGTGCTCCCACAATAACTAATGCCTCAGGGGGATCTCTGGGGCTTCTGCAGAGCATTCAGACGGTCCCAAAACACCTAATTTGGGGACCCTGCAAGAGTTTTCCTGGAGAACCGCCCTGAGAGTTGTTCTGTTGGAGGGTCGAACGGGAACAACCCACGCCCACATGAAGGAACCCGTGGCTGGTATGGGACTTGATTTTGGGTTGAAACCACCCCTTGGCCGGATCTCTCTTACACTGGACGCCCCTTCTTTGCAGGCTTCCGGCCGATTACATCGACAAGGCGAAGCGGTGAAGTTAGGGCGATATGAGCTCATGACCTAAAGGTCTTCCTCCAAATATGTTTTTATATGTAGGTTGACTTGGTGTCCTTGTTGACTGAAAATGAAATAGAATTTGAGCCTTTCCTGTTTTTCTGGGTGCCCCAGATGTGGGCCAAGGGAGTGTTCACCCACACAAGCCAAACTGAGGCCTTACAAAACATAATGTATTTCTTCTTTGTGCCCCGTTTATTCTCCACACACACACACCCACTGTATGCGTAACCCTTTATGTGACCCATATGTCTGGCTGTATCCGGCAAGTGGTGTAGCATCCAGCCAAGGATCTTAGGTGTTTTGGGGCCAATGAAACTCGGGTAGTGGAAATCCTGCAGCTTGGATGCACATCTTAACCCTCCTTCCAATCAGCAAGGGAGTGGACGATCGGAGGGATGCGCGTGAAAAGGTCCAACGCGTCCACATGATTGATATAAGCACAGCCACCGCTTGTAACCCCAGGTGAGAGAGCCACAATGAAACCCGGGCAAAAGAAGGTAGTAACGGTTGAAGGAAATCATGATTTCACGCCCGTTTTCAAAGCCATTTGTCACAGGGAGCGAAGGATGCTCTTTCATTTTGTGATTTGGTGCCCTCAACGGGACGGACAATGTGGACTGCTCGGCAGATTGCCTTGATTGCGACTCCAGCCTCTTGCACTTAATCGGGTGGCGGTTCCCCTCGGCCCAACAATATTATATATATATACATATATACATACACGCATTAGTGAAATGATGGGTCACTTGGGATGCTCATGAAACCCTTTATTTGGGTCAGACACAATTTAAGGGCATCGAGTCGGGATGCTTGCGCCAACATGTTGGGGAGTTTTGACTGGGGGCACAAAGCTGCTGTTACCTCTCATGGAACGAACAAGCTACCAATCCAGCCAACAGAAAACTTTCGCAGGGGGCGGACCAATCCATGTTGTCTTGGCACTTGACTCACCTGTCTTGATCTTCCTTGGCTCCATTTGGCTACAAATTTCATTCGCAACCCCTGCCCACACGGTCGATGGACACAAATCCCCACCTATTCCGATTTTGAAACTTTTCGCAATGTGAAGGGCGTGCCTTGACATTTTTTGACTGGAGGATCCTCATAAGCATTCACAACTGGGCCCCCCTGGAGCCTAACATTGCCCGCAGTGAAACACACGAACTCTCTCCCAGGTGAACATCGAACCCCTGAAAGCCCACCCAGTTCTACACCAACCTTTGGTTGATGAGTTCCATTTCTGGCTAACCCTTTTCCTTGAAAAGGCTAGAACAAAAAGGCCCCAACCTTTTGCGACATCGATCCTTTTGCTTTTTCCAGGCAGGGGGGGAGTCGTATATTTGCCGGGGGGGGGGGGGCAGTCAATCCGCGCGGATTCGAATCTCGGGCAACGACCGGGGAAACTGCCAGATGTTCCCCGACGAGAAGAGTGCAGCGCCCAAGGCCGAGCGCCCGGAGCCCAGAAAACGTCCCCGGACAGTTCTTCCAACCCGGAGCCCGAAAGGCGGCCTTTCTTTTTTTACCGGCCGAATGTGGATTGGAAAAACCGGGTTTGACTGGAAGAGCCCAAACAAAAAGGCAGGTTTCTCAGGTACCAGACAAACCATGTGCTTTGTGTGCTCAACTCAACCACTCATCGTTTTTCGTCCACCTGGCAAATCAAGCAATGGAACACTCCTTTTCATGCAGTTTGCCTTCCACCAGAGGTTGAGTCCCCAAAATGGGCCACCAACAAACCAAGAATAGCAGATGCGAAGAAAAAGAAAAGAAAAAAACACCAAAAAACAAGATACCTTGCACATGGGGGTTGGAAGTAGAATTCCCCTCCAAAAGAACAATTTGAGACCCCTCGAAATGGTCACTTTGAGGGCCCCAC